TCCCAGAAGACATAATGAGGTAATTAAACATTTGAATATTTTATAAACATAGCATCATGGCATCAATTGTGATGATGGCCGGTGGAGCTACTGTTAATGCTCTAGCTTTTTCGGGGAGTATTTTTTTATTTTCTAGCATGAGAGGAGAGCCCAGCCCAGTGACAATGGGCCAGAAATAGGATGTTAAGATTAGATTTTATTAATGATGAACTGCGTAAACAAAGACATTCAATTTAAACGTTTAAGGATGTTGAATCTACCATGCACGAATACTTCCTTGTTTATGGAAAGAAACTTGACCCAATACCAAGGCCAACAATCTCTCAGTTTTATACACCGTCAGAGGCTCAGAAAGACCCCGAGATAGTGTTTATAGTTTTGGGATAGACTGGTGTGTCCATATTTAGCTATGTTATTATGCATAAGCCATGAGCTATTGCATATCAGCTATTAATAATAACCCTGACTACTCAGCTATAAATAGCACAGACTGGCTGACTGTTCATGACACCTAGGCTGACACGTATTTACATAAATGATACTAGAAGTGTATATTTATCACAATGGCGAGGGGCACATCAAGATGTAAATTCATACGCATGGGCCAATCACAAAATTGTGGAAAAAGCTGTATGGCAGATTTTTGTGGAATCCATGCCATTGCAATTAGAAAAGGGCATATTAATTATTCGTGTTCTGTATGTGGGATTGGGGTCAAGGTAGTTACTCTTTATGTAAGAGTCACGGTGCTGACAAGAGACGTGTTTCAGATTATTTATGAGAGGAAAAAGTCTTACCGATATGAAATAAATAGATTGGGTAGAATTCAAACCAATTAGAGATTAGTTCACATGAAGTTTTATATCACAATGACTTATGCCAGAGAGCTGAAAGCTTTGGCAAAACAACGTGTTCTACGTGGTTATTCTCGAATGAGAAAAGCTGAATTGATTGATTACTCGGTTTGGAATACAACAAACCCCAGACCGTTAGAGAACTCAAAGCTCAAGCAAAAAAAGGTCGACTGAGAGGTTATTCTCAAGTGAGAAAAGCTGAATTGATTGATTTACTAGATAATAATCGATCAGTTGATGTTGATAAGAATCGATGAGTTGATGAGTTAAGATTTGTATCCACAGCCGGCGTTGGTAAGTATCTAAGAGGCTGGATGTTAACGATGTAAAGCACATCGTATCAAGCAAAATTAACGAGGAATTAGATGATTTAAATAGTATAAAATACCAGCTAACGGTTAAAATGTCATTTAGTAAAAATGACTCCGAGTATACTGAACCTTATTTCCAGAGCAATCAAGAAGTTATATCCGAATCCGATACTATAAACACATCATTAGATACATCAATTCAACGGATACAGGAAACTTAAGGACGCTTTCTAAAATTGCAAATAGACCTTCTAGCTATTCCCAAAACAACAGACTCAACCTTGATGGTATAGACGAACCTACTCCAATCTCACAAATTGATAAGGCGGAAAAGCAAAATAATTTAGCCATAAATGTTTTCGGACATTCTTCTAAAGGAATTGTTGTACACAGGATAAGCTCCGCTCCGGAACATATTCCCAGAATCAATTCATTTCTGTTCTGAAAAGATGGTAAATATCATTATACGTGGATAAAGAGTTTAAACAGGCTATATTATACGATCAAACAAAACATGCTAGAAAGAAATATTTTTGCGAAAGATGCCAACATGGGTACAGCAGACAAGATCTATTAGATCTATTAGGCATAAAGAAGACTGCAGAAGTGTTGGACAGACTGCTTTCAGGATCGATATGCCTAAAGAGGGAAAAAATAAACTAAAATTTGAACATTATTGCAATCAAATGCCAGTACCATACATATGATTTACGCTGACTTCAACGCTTATCAAACCTATAGAAAATACCGAACACAATTCTGAATGTAGTTTTACATATAAAACTCAAGAACATATTCCTTGTGGGTTTTGATATATAGTTGTAAGGTATGATGCGAAAACAAACCCGCCCGTGATTTACAGAGGTCCCGATGCAGCGGGAAAGTTCCTAAAATATCTACAAAACGAAGAGAGAATAATCAGGGAACATTGATCGCGTAAGAAACCCATGTGTATGACGAGGGATGATTGGTGGGGCTATAAGAGTTGTCATGTTTGTAATAAACCCCAGAGTTCACGTGACCCCAAAAACTATAGGAGACATTAGCCCAGCAAGCTTGGAAGGTGATTCAAATCCTCCAGTTTAGACTAGGTAAATTCTCATATCTGCTACCAGATGTCTGTTTCAAAAATTTTGATGTAAAAGTGTTACCAAGTTTGACATATGCATCGGAAGTTTGGTGATTCAATGCATCACCTTACATTGAAAATGTTTGGATTTGCAGAGGTATGGCTTCAACAGGGTGTTGGTAGATCTGACTTATTCTTACATCAGTTTAGGCAAAGGAGCGTAGACATTGAAAATCAAGTGTTGCACAATAATTGTGAATCTTGTTCTAAGCTTGAATTGTTCTCTGCAGTAAGGGATAAATTTTCATATAATAACTGGATTCGATTAATTGATGTAACATTATTTCGAATTAATATCTTGAATTTTCTTGGATCCAACCATCGTCTTATGGTTGATGTTACAGTCAAAATAACATCTCTAAAATAATTCCTATTTATTTTTCCAAATTATTAAAGTTTAAATTTTTTCTTAAAATTTCATTTCAAATTTAGCATGTACAAGATTATTATTTTATGCATGCTTCAGGAGTTTTGCCACGGAAGGTTACTCTGTTTAGGCTGCATGCCATGCATGCTTTTTAGTTTCTCGAAGGAGTGAATGAGGACCCATGTGGTCAGTGACAAAAAAGCAAAAAGTAAAGGTTAGAGAAGAATATGGGTCTACCAAAATGTCAATGAATGTAAGGATCACAATAAATGTCAATTCATCCTAGAAAAACAACAACAAAAGAACAATTCTCATTTCCATTTCCATCTTCATTCTCAAATAAATAGGAATTATTTTAGAGATGTTATTTTGACCGTAACACCCCAGCCCCTTAATTGTACCTATATAAATGGGACAATTATGAATATAGACAAAAGAAAAATACTTATAAATAAAATGCGAAAATAAAACAAATGCTTTTAAGATAACAGAGATATACCCGATGAAAAATACCTCTTTTCACTAAGCAAATTGTGTCACAAAAATGTATCAATTCAAATTCTTTTGATCGTAAATGATCGAAACAAATTGTTTAACACAGTATTACAAATTCATTCATTCTTACTCAAATATTAACAGCATTTCAATAAAACACAATGGAATAGATGAAATAGTGAGTGAGTGAGTATGGTTCAACGTCGCCCCTAGCAATATTCCAGCAATATCATGGCGGGGGACACCAGAAATGGGCCTCACACAATGTACCCATGTTGGGAATCGAACCCGGGCCCCCGGCATGACAAGCGAACGCCCGAACAACTAGGCCACCCGACCGCCCGAAATAGATGAAATATTAAAACTTCAAATCATTTCATCACTGAGTTCATATGCACTTAATGCATCACTGAATTTCACTGTTTATTCATCCGTTTCAAGAACAAAGCACAGTTTTGTTACAGGTCTCTGTAACACGGATGTTTTCACAGTCACAGTCCTGACAAGTCCTTTCTTGTCTGCAAACACTTTCAGGGCTCTACCGAGAGCCCATGAATTTCTGGGTGTGTTCTCAACAAGGAGAACAATGTCGCCTACTTTCACATTTCGCCGTTTCTTTGTCCATTTCTGTCTGATCTGTAATTGGGGTAAGTATTCTTTTACCCACCGTCTCCAGAACACATTGGCTAAATACTGAATTTGACACCATCGTCTCCTTACGTAATTGTCCGAGACGTCAAAAATTCCTGGCGGCATATGTTCACCTGCACGAAGAGTGAGGAGGTGATTAAGGGTTAGAACACACAGATCATTTGGATCACTACTCACAGATGTTAGTGGTCTGTTATTGATGATTACCTCCACCTCACAAAATAATGTCTGTAATCCCTCATCATCCAAATGAATCACTTGTTGATGCAGCAGGGAATTTAACACTTTTCGAACTGTCCGGATCATTCTTTCCCATACTCCACTATGGTGTGAAGCTGCAGGAGTGTTGAATTCCCATGAAATTCCTTTATGTTGAAGTGATGTATGAATCTTACTCTGATTTAATTTGTTTATCTCATCGCAGAGTTCTCGCTCACTTCCGACCAGGTTGGTTCCATTATCGGAACAATGGATTTCACTGTCCCTCTCCTAGCAATGAATCTTCTCACTGCATTGATGCTTGAATCTGTATCTAGAGAGAACGCCATCTCTAAATGCACTGCTCTGACTGTAAGGCAGGTAAATATCACACCATACCTTTTCACTTCTTTTCTTGCTATCTTCACCATTATTGGACCAAAGAAGTCCATACCCACGTGTGAAAATGGTGGTTCATCTACAGAGAGACGATCTGACGGAAGACTCGACATTTGCTGCTCCATGACACAAGCTCTGTACTTCCGGCACAGGACACACTTGGACACTAGGCTCTTGATAATAGAGCCAGCCCCCATTATCCAATAATTCTGTCTCAATTGGGCCAGCATTGATTGATATCCAAGATGTCCAACTTTCTCATGGCTGCCTCTCAATATCAACGATGTGATAGCAGACTTCTTTGGTATGATAACTGGATGTTTGGCATTGAATGGAATGTTAGCTTTATCTAGGCGTCCTCAGATTCTCATAATTCCATCAATTACAACAGGATTCAGTTTGACTAGAGGAGATCTGGGTCTCAAACAACACTTACGTGTTGTCAACATTTTTATTTCTTCATGGAAACACTGTTGTCGCACATGACGTATCAATGTCATTTCCGCTTTTTCAACCATTTGGATTGACAACTGCTTGAATTTCATGACCTTTTTCTTCAGGTTTTGGATGAAAAGAAGAATCCATCCAACAGCTCTCTAAAGTCTGGTCCAATCTGAGTAGTGACCGATTAACCGATTGTCAAGTGGAGAATAGTGAGCTACATTAAATGTAGTAGTAGCTACAGTCCTTTTCACCTCTGGATCATCTGCTGGAAGAATCAACTCTTTCTCATTGCTGTTGACTTGCCATTCTGATTCTGGTTTCCTTAGGAAATCTGGAGCCTTAAACCATATATCAGCCTGGAGAAACTTGTTTACTTTCATACCTCTAGACGCTGCATCGGCTGGATTAGATTTGGTATGGATGTAGTTCCACTGGTTCTTGTCTGAAGATTCTCTGATTATCTGAACTCTGTTTGCAACGAATGTGTGGAATCTGTTGGTGTCACTGGCAATGTATCTGAGTACTGACCAGCTGTCTGTCCAGTAGAAAGTTTCTGTTACTATATATTCCAGTTCATCTATGATCATTTTGCCGAGTTTCATTGCAATAGTTGCTGTTGTCAACTCCATCCTCGGTATAGTCACTCGTTTCAGAGGTGCTACTCTTGATTTCCCCATGACGAAGGAGACATGAATTTCATTTCTTGAGTTGATTAGTCGTAGATAGGCGACTACTCCATAACCATGATCACTGGCGTCCGAGAACATATGAAGTTGACAGGTGACGACTGATCCAAACTCTTCTGTCTTGAAACATCTGGGTAGTTTTATGTTGTTGAGCTGTGATAAACCATTTAACCACTCTCGCCATATCTTCATGTCATCTCCAGATATTTCCTTGTCCCATTCTACATTGTCTCTACACAGTTTCTGCAGCAGGATCTTGGCAACTAGGACATATGGTGACACATATCCTAACGGTTCATATACTGAGCTGACCATGGAGAGTATTCCTCTTCTAGTAGGTTGTTTGTCTTTCACTTTAGTGTATTGAAAACAGTCTTTCTCTACTGACCATGTCACACTAAGAGCTCTTTCAACAGGGAGTTGATCAGATTTCAGGTCGATAGATTTCAGACTCTTTGCTCTCTCATTAGGTTGTATGCTCTCAACTACAGTGTGTCTGTTACTCATCCATTTGGTAACACGGAACCCCCCCCCCCCCCCCCCCCCCCTTGCACACAGTTCACTCACATCAGTTACAATAGATTTAGCTATGTCTTCATTCTCAACTGATTTCAGCAGGTCATCTACGTAGAAGGATCTGAGGATGACATTGGTTATGAGAGGATTGAACATTTCTCTGTTATCTTCTGCAGTTTGGCGTAGAGCAGCTGTCGAAAAACTGGGCGATGATACTGCTCCGAACAAGTGCACACACATGCGATATACTGCAGGTTCTGATTGAAGATCTCCATCTGGCCACCAGTAGAACCTGAGGAAGTCTCTGTCATCTCGTGGGACTCGTACCATAGATTCTATATCAGCCATTAGGGCTACAGGCTCTTGTCTGAATCGCATTAATACACCGATGAGGCTGTTGGTTAAGTCAGGGCCTTGAAGCAGTAGATTGTTGAGTGCTGTTCCTTGATGTGTAGCTGCACAATCAAACACCACTCGGATCTTGTCTGGTTTGTGAGGGTGATACACCCCATGATGAGGAATGAACCATACCTTTCCATCGTCACGTTTCAGTTCATCATCAGACACCTTTTCAGCATAGTTCTTTTCCAGGATGTTATTTATGAAGTCTTTGTAGTCGCTGAGAAAGCCATCATTTCTCTTCATCTTCTGTTTCAGATTCATCAGTCTCTGATAGGCTTGGTAGTGATTGTCTGGGAGGCAGACTGAGTCACTCTTGAATGGAAGGGGTATTGTGTAATGTCCATCATTTAGTGTTATACTCTCCTTGACCTTCTCCAAAAATCTGATATCATTGTGTGATGGCTGGCGTTTGTCGTCGATGACACGTTCTGGGAAGTCATAGTTGATTGACTGTTGGACAAGCTGACCAAGTTTCTTCAACTCTTCTATTTCCTGAATAGCAGTTATATCAGCTCTGTTGACAGGAGTATGTCTCACCACATTGCACACTACCCATCCCAGTCTGGTGAACGTTGCATGTGGACTTCCTTGAGGTCCCCTTTTGACATGCAGAGGAGAATAGGCATCTGGAACAGTGTTGCCTATTAGTATACCTATCTCAGAGTCAATCTGAGGAAGGGAAACACCTCTCAAGTGTGGCCATCCAGAGATATCGGTTTGGGTTGGAATATGCTGATGCGTTACTGGCATTCTATCTTTTGTGTAGAGCTTGGGCAACTGTGCAAAGTTCTCTCATGTCAGATCACTTACTTCCAGGTGGTTGATACTGTAGGTTATCATAGAGTGTGGATGTCCCATGGTCTCCAGAGTTATCTTTAATCTTTTACCCTCACATCCTAACTTCTGTTTCATGCTGTCAGTGATGAAGGAAACACTGCTTCCAGGATCCAGAAAGGCATAGGTTCTGATAGCGGGACTACTTCCTTTCCTTCTCAGCATCACAGGAATTATTGCCATGGTACATTCTCCCTCTCCAGCTCCCATACAACTCACTGTGTTGGAACTACTTTCCTTGCTTGTTTTCTGTCGATCATGTCTACTGTCTAGTTGAGCCTTAGGCTTGCTGCGGTTGAATATGTAGGACTGTTTGATGACTGAGGCCACAGTTGTTGCAGGATATGGTTGCGTTGCAGAAATACAAAATGGTATGTTGTCATGCATTTGTATTTCTTTTCCATTGTCAATATATTTCTGTAGCAATTTTATTTCCCAAATTCTTGTATTTGTAACTTTTCTGAAGAAATGATAATGTGTTCAGTTTTCAATCACTAATGTATACATTCTTTCTGTGCAAATGCTCTTGCAATTATTTTGTCACAATTAAATGTCTTTTGTCAACTTTTGTTGTTTTAGTAATTGTCATACATTGTTATTGTTTTGTTTACATATTGAACTGCAAACTTATGATTGTTTACTTTTCCTTTGCAGCCACTTCCAATTCAAAAGAGGTTATTTATTGGTGATGAGTTGAGAATGAGAATGAAGATGGAAATGGAAATGAGAATTGTTCTTTTGTTCTAGGATGAATTGACATTTATTGTGATCCTTACAGTTGAAACAGGCAGATATCATAATATACCAAGACATGATCGTTTCTGTCCCCTCTGTGTTGTAAGTGCTATCGAAGATGAGTTCCACTTTTGTATGGTGTGTCCGTTCTATCTTGATCTGCGGTCTAATCTCATACCCAATTATTATCACATGTTTCCAAGTCGTGAGAAAATTTCCTTATTATTCAGCTCGACTAAATTTGCAACAATTTAGCAAAATATGTATATCTTGCTGGTAAGAAACCAGAGGCCATATAATAGATATGGTCTCTGTAAGAAACGTAATTCCATTTTCAAGGGAATGCCTGTGTCATATAACTAACTCCAATATTAACAGTTTGAATACTGCATTGTAAATCTTATAATTCAGCGCTCTGTCATATTTGTATGCCATCATACTCTGCACGTGTATAATGGGCCGGTGGCCTCATTACCTGAATAAAAGCATCACTCGAAAAAAATAAACCCCTGAATGGGGATTCCGTAAGAGATCATTGCCACGTCACGGGCATAACAAGTGTAACTTGAAACTAAAAATGAATTCTCAAACAATACCCATCCTCGTTGTGTTTCACAACCATTGAGGATATGATTCTCATCTCATTATGCAAGCTTTCTCAAAGACCGACGGCGGCTTAACGTGTATTCATAAATAATATGGAAATATACATATCATTCTCGTTGACTAAAACTATACATTATACGGACAAGGATGGGATAGCTAGAATAAAGCAAAGTAATGGGCTTAGATTCATAGACTTCGTACAGTTTCTGTTATCTTCCCTGGACAATTTAGCTAATGCGAACAATCCCGATGACTTTGCGATAACAAATAAATATACCGATAGGTGCCGTCATTTGTTGTTGAGAAAAGGTGTATATCCTTACGAATATATGGATGATTGGTCTAGATTCAACGAAACTAAATTACCACCCCTTGAATCATTCTATAGTAACTTAACAGAATCTAAAATAACCGATGCCGATTATGAACACGCTCTGACGGTCTGGGATAAATTAGGTTGTAAGAATTTAGGTGATTATCACGATCTGTACTTAAAAACCGATTTTGATTTAAACATATTTTATTGCGGAAAACCAAATGGATTAGGCACAGGTGACACACTTACGAGGCCTTCTCCTATATACATTTCATTACATTGTGGTATGTTAATTCTGTGGTGCAGAATAAATGTTCAGTGCATAGGAATTACAAGTAATGAGAAATTATAATAACACACACATATTCATAATATATACAGTATTACACACAAACACATATACCTACATACACTCACACATACATCTACATATATACATATGATGAATTTACATTTTTGGTATACAATGGTACATGATATATTTATTAAATAACACAGTAGTTAATAAACTACATGTAATAGACATTGTAAATTTATGTGAAGGGCGGGAAATTAGAATGTAACAAAGCTGTGATAGTTACAGGGAATGCTATTGTTTTACATCAAAATCAGAGTGTTGAAACAACCATGTATTATATGTGCCAGTCACTTGTAAAATCCAGATAATTTGAAAGTAGCTCGTGAAATATAATTCTTGTTATAATTCTTGTTGTATTAGGATACAATTTAAAATCTGTTTGTTTCTACAATAAATTTATGGACATATTTAAAAATTAAGTTATTTTGTTCTTCAGATAGATTTTTGTTACCACAAAGAATTGTTTCTAAATTTGGCTGAGTCCCTATATTCCTAATGTTGATGAACAAAGATTGTCTTATTAAAGAATATTTTTTACATTCAAGAAAATAGTGAAAAGCATTTTCGCATGGGGAACCGCAAAGGCAAGAAATAGTGTCTGACAAATTAACCCTAAATAAATCATCATTTAGATTGCTACATCTATGTCTAAGTCGTGTGTGGATAATATTAATTTGACGCTTACCATAACTGAAATTATTTGGAGATTTAATAACAATTGCATAAATTTTAGTTTTAAATTCAGCTACAGAGATACTATTTTTAATATTTTCGTTTTGTGAATTCCATTGTTTTAAAGAGTCTATTATAAATGATTTCTGAAACGTACTTGTTCTGGCAAAAGGTACAGTCATGTTCTGTTTGTTATGAAGGTTATTATTTGAAGCAGCTGATCTATTGTTGCGTAACAAATCATTTAGATATGAGGGACATTCATTTATTATTATTTTGTGCACTATCGTAAGTTTTTTAATTTTTCGTCTCTCTTTTAGTGGTAGCCAGCCGGTTTCGAAATATAAACTTACTCTAGAGGCAAATTTGTTCAAGCCTGTCACAATTCTGGCAGCGTCAAGTTGTATTAATTCAAGTTTATTTTCGTTATAAGCAAAACAGTTATCCCATACCTCCGATTAGTATTCCAGAATAGGTCTTATAAATGTCAGATAGATTTTTGACAGATTATATCTATTTAATTTATATTTAAGTTTACGCATAGCTGAAACCATTTTCGCTGTTGACTTAGCAATAATTGAAACATGTGCAGTCCATTTCCTACTTGAGATAACGTGACCCCCAGAAGTTTGTGGGTTTCAACATGTTCAATGGCACTGTTAGCATAGCAAATAGTAGGATAATCCTGTACCTGTTTTTGACTAAAAAACATGTATTTTGTCTTGGTTGGGTTGAAGTTTACAAGCCATGTGAAAAATAGAAATAGGAACGGCCCCAGTACAGAGCCCTGTGGGACACCTGCTTTAGTGAATTGTTTACTTGATAAACTACCATTAATAAATACTCTTTGGCAACGGGCTGACAGATAACTACGACACCAAACTAATAATTTACCAGTTATACCATATTGTTGAAGTTTATGCAATATACCTTTGTGCCATACCCTGTCGAATGCCTTAGAAATATCACAGAATATCATACAAAAATATTTATGATCATCAAGTGAATTACAAATGTGATGGTAAATTTCAATTAATTGATATGTAGTACAATTGTTTGGCATGAATCCCGATTGATGTTGGGAAAGTAGTTTATTCTCCAGAAAGTAATTGTACATTCTTTTAAAAATGAGTCTTTCAAATAATTTTCCAAGACAAGATAACAGTAAATAGGCCTGTAGTTGGAAGGGTTGGATTTATCTCCCTTTTTGTACAAAGGCATTACATTAGCTAGTTTCCACTGTGATGGGAATGTGCTTTGTTCAAGAGACAAATTAAATAACAAGCGTAAAGGATTGGCTATGGATAGTGATATATATTTAAGTAATCTGTGATTCAGGTTGTTGGACCGCTTGCTTTATTTACCGGTAGGGCCTTTATGAGATCTGTTATTTCTTGACTCTCAATAACGGTATAATCCAATTCATGTTCACATAGTTTAACAAATGGTGGTAGTGAGGCGCCTTCATTATCAACATTGGAAACTGACGTAAAATAATCGTTGAGAGCTTCAGCTTTATCAAAATCAGAAAATGCTTCAGGTACCAGAGGTGGGATCACGGTGCTTGCTCCAGACTCTTTGATCAAGTGACGTAAAAGTTTCTAATAATTAGAACTGTTTTCCTTGATTTGTGTAGATAATAATTCATCTAAGTTAAGATAAAAGTTTTCCTTGGCAGCTTTCTTCAAATTGTTTACTTTATTTCTTTGTTTTCTATATTTAGATAAATCGCGTTCATTGCATGTTCGTCTAGCATTTTTTCTCAGTCGATCTCTTATTCTTATTTCTCTATGTAGTTCACTTTCAAACCATGGTTTATCTTTTGGCCTTATTGTGACAGCGCGGCTTGGTATGCATAAGCTTATATAATTTTTAAATGTGGACGGAATAATATCAAATATTTGAGCAATAGACTCGCAGCTATTAAACATGCACATCAAATCAGGTGATTCAATCAATTCATTTAAAACCAATGTACTGTTACTCGCCAATATATTCAAGATATTTAGAAAGACATGTTTAAAACAATACGGCTTGGACCCGGCATGGTACTATTCCAGTCCCGGACTATCGTGGGATGCATTGTTGAAGAAGACCGGCGTAGAACTAAAACTACTCACCGATTACGATATGTACTTGTTTATTGAGGATGGATTAAGAGGTGGTATATCGATGGCAGCGAAAAGGTATTCTAAGGTTAATAATAAATTTGTGGAAGGATATGATCCGAGTAAACCCGACACGCATATATTATATCTCGACGCCAACAATTTGTACGGATGGGCAATGAGTCAACCTTTACCCACGGGTGGTTCTGAGTGGGCCGATGTGAATGATATCGATGTGAATGATATTAATGTGAATAAAGGGTACATACTAGAAGTTGATTTGGAATATCCAACAGAGTTACATAAAGACCATAACTGTTATCCGCTAGCTCCCGAAAGATTAATGGTTAATAAAGATTGAATGTTGGAATATCAACACTCCTTGATG